CCCGCCGCCTCCGCGCGACGCGCCGGCTCGGCCACAGCCCCCGCGAGGGCCGCGGTTACCGGGAGTTCTTGATCGCTCTGAATACCTGCCATTATGCGTTCTGCCGACTCTTGTGCCATCTGCGAAAAATTACCTTTTTTCGGCAGCGGTAATTTTACACTTCAAGCTGACGGGTGAATGCCTCGAGTAGCACGAGGAGGAGTGCTTCCCCATTCAGAAACGCTGGAGAAACACCCCCGTTTAACCGTGATTCATCGCAGACAACTACTACAAGCCATCGCGGTCGAGATCTTGATCTGTTTAATGCACGCTTTTCTACTACATAGTGTTTTAAGGCAGGTTGTCAGCTTAAACAAAACATTTCTACCAGCTGAAATAATACATCCACACACTATTTACAACCCAAGCTGTGGTTTCAAAGAATTGAAATCAGACCTTTCAGGTGACTTGCCATTGTAAAGTTATGGAAACTGACATCATTTTTACTCCTGCTCTTCCCCAGTCAAATCCTGCATTGAGATTCCTTTGTTTTGCTCAGACTTGGTGCCAAACTCCAAGCCTGCAGCTATTTAAGTCAACTCATCACCTTTCAGCACCTTTCAGGTTAGGTATCAAACCTATTTCTGCTTTCTGTAACCTTCAGAATACTCTTAATGAAAACAAATTGTAACCAGAGTTCTGCAGCCACCGATTCTCAGTGTACTAGAGTCTAAGGATACAAAAATAGACTTCCTGTTTGACACTAAACTGGAAAACAGTTCGCCTGTATATAAACACATCCCATATACCGCTTTTTCAGAAGGCAAAGATGAAATATTAAGTAGTTCTGTCTTTGAGCTAATAATCTTATCCCTCTTCTAGGCTTTAACCTTCACAGATGACCTTGGTTCTCAAGAAGACTGAAGATAATTTCTACAAGCCCTCAAGTACACTAAAAATATTACTTTTGTATAGACCTACTTATTTCTGTACAGCTTAGTCCTGAATAAATTTCAAATTTAATGTAAATTTGAGATCTCAGCTCTGTAAAACCCCTTCTCTTACTGTCTACCACCTTTTCTTTATTAAAGGCATAGATTTCACAACACAATAACATACTCAGTAGCTTTCACGTGATTTATACAGCTAACAGCAAAGTTAGATTCTGGTAGTTGTCAGAGGGGCATTGTTTATTGTAGGAGGGTTAGCTGGGTTTTCCTTTAGTTCTGGATTGTGTTTTGGTTGATAGTCCCCCCCCTCTCTATTTGTGTTCACCTTAAAGCACATTAGCAAAAATACCCAATTTGTGAGGTGGGGGCTTATAAGGACAGATGTCACAACTAGCACTGGTATTATATACCTTTTAATTAGAACACTGTTACAACACTATGGGGGGAAAAAAAAAAAACCCAAAAAACCCCAGCCTAGTTTAGAACTACAGAGAGGTGTAAAGCCCCCTCTCTATTTGTGTTCACCTTAAAGCACATTAGCAAAAATACCCAATTTGTGAGGTGGGGGCTTATAAGGACAGATGTCACAACTAGCACTGGTATTATATACCTTTTAATTAGAACACTGTTACAACACTATGGGGGGAAAAAAAAAAAACCCAAAAAACCCCAGCCTAGTTTAGAACTACAGAGAGGTGTAAAGCTCATGTTGTTATGGGATCTGTAGAGCAGTGCAAGTCCTCTTCTGGAGGTCATGTTTTGCACTGATTTCCTCCACTCTACCTGCAGAATGAAGTATTATTAATACTCTGAAAACAAGCTCTGTTATAAAAAAAAAATTGATCTGTAAGACCTGCTAGCACCATTCTACTTGTATTTACCTTTTCCAGTCATTAAAGGAGAGTCAATTACCATACAGGAATAGTTTGGGTGGTGGTGTTTTGTTTTTTAAATACAGTGGAGGGTTTATTTATGGATTGATAAATACAATATCCAGTCTCACTGGGACAATAAGGCACAACTGTAGGTTACAACTATAGAGCCAGAAAAGAGCAACACCTACTTTTAAGCAAATCAAAGCCTACAAATTTTTTTTTTTTTTTACTTTTCAGGCATGTAACAATGTTAACAGATTATTTTACAGGACACGGTCATAAAACTGTAAGGTTTCTCTCTCATACAGGGTAGAGGTTTTTTTTAATTTACATTTCTTTCTGGAATTGTGCTGCACTCTGCAAAACAATAAAGTGCAACATTTCACTTTACGATTCCTTAATTTAAAACAAATTAAAAAAATCCTTCAGACATTTGCATGTTATTCTTTAACACCAGTCAGGATTGAAGAAACTGAGGGGAAAAAAAAAAAAGGAAATGCACATTTGAGGGTAGTTCAAGATTGGTAAGTATTTATAGAAATGTTAACACATGAGAAGCAGTTAAAACACTGATTCTTCAATAAAGCAGCTCCCAGGGTTTTTTGGTTTTATTGGAAGGACCTTCCAGAACATAGGATGCTCCAGCTGAACTAGATGAGATCATTTGCCAATCTAGACACAGAAAATTATGTTGCTATTGAACCTATGATAATTTTGGTCTCTTGAATTTATCAGCATTATATTAATGGTATTAATCATCTTGCACTTGCAAAGAGATCTGTGTAGAACTATCTTCTGAAGTATTTGGGATAATATGTACTTCCCCATATTATATTATTACGCCACAACTTTCATAAACACAGCTACCACCCTCAACGCAAATCTAGCAGACCAGGACTTCCATACTGGAAAATGTAAATAATTACTGATTATCCAGACCACTATGATTAACAGAAAACAAAAAAACAATCACAAAAAAAAATCAGTACTGTTTCATTACACTATTACGGGGCGGGGGGGGAGGGGCAGGCAGTGACAGAACTACAAATCCAGATTTTGACAAGACTAATTTTCTTGCATTATATACACTGGTAAACAAGTTTACACCTTCAGAGGCAAAACCACCTTGATCAGTAGAGGGATCCTAGAGCAACGCAACATGGAGAGGGCACTTCATGGTCTGCTGGCAGTCAAGCCAGCAAGCTACTCAAAGGAAAGAAACAAGTTCCTGCAACTGCTACTGGAACAAACTAAGTGACTTAGTGCAGAACTTCCTGCTCCTTTTGAGGACACCACAGCCTGTCTCCACCACAGATTCTCTATTGTCCCTGTGAATTCACCCGACAAAAAATAAAATCTAATCACGGTACTTCAAAGTACTCTTGGCTATCATTATGCATCCACTGCTAGTTGTACAATGAAGCCATAGAAATTGCAAAGTCCTTAAGTAAAAGGCAGACTTGAAAGCAAGGAAGAAACAAATCTGTATGTGAAGCCAAATGTGAAAGGCAAAAAAAAGGCAGCTGTAATGTGTAATTGCTACTGGAAGCAAAAGTGAATCATTATCACTGCACCTAGTATTTGAGTAGATGCTTGTCTCCAAAGTGTTTCAGAGGGTGCTTCTCTGGCGTGTTCCCGTTTTCCCATTCTCAGATTCAGAGCTCAGAAGAATCAGTTTGTAGATTAAACAACAGTACATAAGGAGAGACACTTTTGCTGAAACAGTAGTGCAGAAGGAGTCAAGGGAGAAAGGGTAAAAATTGGAAGGAGAAAATTTAAGAAAAAAATAAAAACACTCCTTTCCAAGTTGCATGGCAGCCATTTCCCTTTGTTTCTGATGCACAGGGATTTTTCACATTGGCAGAACAAATCAAGGAGGGGTTGGAGATGTACTGAATATGCACCAGTATCAATGCTCTGGGGGAAGGTGCTAAGGAGAAGATGAAGTTCTATTCATTACATAGTAGGAGTAGAAAGGAATAGGTTCTCCATCCATCAGTGAAGAAAACGAATGCTCATTTTCTGCTCTACATCCACCTTCTCCAAAACCTGCAATAAAATTCAGAAACAGCTACTTAAGTTACTGTACATACTTCTTTCCTACAAGGTTTCTTACTCTAGTATAGAGGAAGTGGGCAGGAACACAGGATGTCTTCAATTTGGCATGCCAGCCTTTCATCTAGAGACTACTATTTTTCACTCTGGACTAAGGTCCTTCTAAGGAAAGGCACTTCAGCCACTAAAGCTGGAAGAAGGCTGTCAACCAGAATGTAACTAATGCAGTTTCAGTCTGCCAACAGCAGAGAAAGGCTTATATTCACCAAATTAGACTGTGTAGGAGTGCACGGCCAGGAATCAGAAGGGGGAACGGAGTAGAGGAAGGGGCATAAGCAGTCATTAAGAGATAAAAAACAAGACCACAGCATCACCAAAGAGATCATTGTAAATCTGGCATGGCAACTTCATTCACTGAATTGCTATCAACACTGAGGTATGAAGACAGTGTGCTCCAGGCTGTTTCAAGCAGTAGACTTCAGTGTTCCAAGATCAGAGCAATTTAAGTTTGAAGAGACCTCTGGATGTCTCTTAGTCAAACTCCCTCAACTTCTGCTTGAAACAGGGCCACCCACATCAATCTGTATGGGCCTTGTCCAGTTAAGTTTTAAATATTTCCAAAGCAGGAGGTACTACATCGTCACAACCTACAATCAGCCTCTTCGTAAAAAGTTTTCCTTACAGCTAACTGGAATTTCCCATGTTGCAACTTGTTCCTGTTATCTCGTCCTGTCTTTGTCCACCTCCAAGGTGAGTCTGGTTCCTCTTGTCAATACCATCCCATTAGGCAGTTGAAATTATTGTGCTAAAGGATAACTTTCTCCACTGACTATATAATGATGCCTTACTATTAGCTATTTCTGACTCACAAAGAGATGTATTTCAAAGGACTAGAGCTAGGAACTTGAATACTAATATTAGTTGTGTTGCCACTGGATAAAATCCACAAGTAAAAACTGATCACCACAAATACAGCAGAAGAATTATTTTATTGCAACTGTGCTATAGTCAAGAAGTTTATGTAGAAAGAAGCGGTAGCAAAAGAAGAAGGTGAAAATTCTGCAATATATTCAGTCTTGTAGCTTATGTAAGAATATGAGGAAATATACAGACCCTGACAGTATTTTAAAAATGTCCTGATTTGCCCAAATGCAGGCAGGCAGGACTATCCAAACAACTTCCTCTGTTTCCATTTGCATTTAGGTCTGAATGACTTGCCCATGCCTGAGCAGTTTCATTTAGTAGTTAAAAATGCAGTTTACCAACCTTTACAAACTCTGCAAAGGAGATGGCGCTGTCCCCATCTTGATCAGCTTCCTGGATTGTCCTGTCAGCAATGCTGCCCAGCTGCTCATCCGAAATGTTTACACCAACCATCATCCGTAGTACCTGTAACATACACAAGTCCACAGATGATTATTTTTTGGAAAAAGAAAACAAAATAACCATTATTGATATAGGAACGGAAGTATGTTTAGTGCTGTTCTGCTTGTGTATACTGTCAAAATAACACCATACAAAAACAACCCTGGAAGTCATTTCTAGACAGACTTTTATTTGTCCTTTGTACATCAAGGCTTTCAGGAAAGACAACTTCCTTTTGTAGCCACAAAGAATCCTGCTTTTTCACTAGGCAGCAGGAAGAGGTAGAAGGATGAGAAAACTTTTGGAACTAAGAATGAGTATGTTTTGTTCCCATACTTTTGCCTGTTTTTTCCCCCCCCACAAAACATACCAACATTTGACTGAGTATCTGCTGTTTGAGATAGCTGCCTACAAGAATGTAAGTATATGGTTAAATGATAACTGCTATTACTCTCTCCAGTCAGTAAAGCAGTTTCTGTGCAGATAGACGTGAGTTTCAGTCAAAAGTAAATCCTTGTCCTACATCAGAAACCACAAATTGTCATGTCTACTTCCCAGAATTAGTAGTATGTAATTACTCCAAGCTCAAGCCTAGTTTCATTTATATGCAGCACTGATGAACTTTGCTTACCTTTGCTGCAATTCCAAGAAGTTTTATTCTACTGAGAGGATGCAGAGGAGATCAGGCAAACAACCTAATCCACCTCAAGGATTGTCCCTGTGAGGTCCTGCGAGAAGCACCTTTGAAAGCTACAGAAGGTAGATCTTAAGGGGCTTAGTGCATTTGTTGGATATTCAGGTATCGTTTCCCATAGGATCTGATTAGCCTAACACTGTTTTAACTTTGAATCTAGTAGAATGACCTAGGCTACTAAATGAGATTAAAGTCTCATTTGGTATCTAAAGCTTTAAAGCAGAGATATGCAATTAGCCACTGAATTCCTTCAGGAGTTCTTTTGAGAAGACTGTTGTAACCCCCTTCTTCCTTCTAAATGGGTGTAAAGTCACAGAGAAAGTCATGATGGAGTCATTCAGAGCACTCTCTGCTATTTACCTGAAGAAGCTCATCCCTGGAAATCTTGTCATCTTTATCTAGATCATATAACCGGAAAGCAACTACAGGGAAGAAAAGGATGAGCATTTTAATTCAAGTGCCATTATTTTTCTTCATAACAATACATTTCTCTAAAAAGAAAAAAGGTAATAGTTAAGTAGTCATAAATTAGAATTTTAATTCACCATAAAATCCACGTTCAGTTCCATGAAGTGTTATCACCGCATACAGGAATAACATTATTGCCAAGAAGTGAAAAATCTTAAGTACTTTGTAGGAGTATTTTCACAAGCACTCTGCTTGCATAGGTATTTCTTCAAAGCCCAAAGTCATGAAAGTATAATTACCACTAAGATACATTCAATCCTTTAACTTCAGAGCCAGCCATTTTTACATTACCATTCATTCTCTGTGACTATATTCTGGATGAGATATGACAGAACTTTTAAGTGCTCTGAGGTGAGGACTGTTGCCAACTTTGATTAGCAAGCAAGAGCATTCTGCTCACATACTGTAGGCAGATGTCCAAATACTCAAGAGAGTACTCAGCTGAAGGTGAGGAAAAAACACTGTGTTATATGGCTGACTGGAGAAAGAAACAGAAAAGCCCATTCACATGCGGGAAGTGGCTTCTAAGTCTGAAATAACTTTGTATGCAAACTATTTCAAAACACCAAGACATTTGGAAAAGCATGTATGTTACTCGAGACTCAACAAATTCCACCAAATTCCAATACAAGAATGGGTCAATTGTTGACCTTCTCAACAGGTAAGCTTGCAAGTTAATTTTAAAAAAATCAGTTATTAGAGGATATCATTCCATAGGGAACAACTGTGCAGAAGACCCCAGGTCCCTTCACTCCCTTCCCAGAAAAACAAAAAGGAAAAATAATTGCTTCTATAGGTAGGTTCGCATTTCTTACAGTGGAGCTTGTTACTTCGGCTGTTCAGTGGTTCTGGTCCATTCTGGTCTTTGCTCTTTTCATTATCTTCTATGGGTCGGAAGTGGGCTAGTGTTCTCATGAATCCACGGAAATTCACCTGGTCCTCTCTGCATAAGAATTTCAGCAGGTCAGTTTTAGCATAGCCTATACAAGTTCCCTGTTTCAGTGAAGAGTGAACATCTAAAGCATTAACACCATGCAAGCTCTTCCAATCCCACCTCACCAGGGTCTGGCTGCCTATGCTCAAACCCAGCTCTGATACAGTGCAGTTACAACCTGGGTTCACACTGTTGTGAAGCATGATGTGTAAAAAAAAGCGGCTGTGAGAAGTCTTGTGGAGAGCTCTATTTAAGCTCAATCCCTCAGCCCCTGGCTGAGCTATCCTGCAGCTATGCCTGAGTCTGGCAATGTAGCTTGCTGGTCTGGACCCTCATTCCTGACCCGAGACTTGCTTCACCACTGTCAACTTGTCTGGCAACCACTGGATTCTTGGCTGACATGACATCAGTCAGTGGACCTGCCCTGCTTTTCTTGTCCAGGAGCTGTGCCCTTCGTCAGCGAGTACATCAGCCCTGCCAGCTTTGCTGTCACCCTTGCCTCCTGCTTATGGGGCAGTCATCACTCACCTCTCCCTGAAAAATAGCTCTCTTCTCTAGAGTTCCTGTGGGAACCACCTATATAACTACTTCCCAGGACTCCTACTTTCTATTCAGAAAAGCCTGCCTGGTATTAGCTGATATTATGACTTGATGAGACATTCCCAACTTCAATCAGTAACAACAAATGTGCCCAAGAAGAGCAGCAGAGTCCATAGAACAATCTAGAGAGGTATAATGGAGAGTACTGCAAATTTGATCATCTCTTTGGATTTATGTTATAAGTGTCATAAGCTAGGTTTTAAATGTGATCAAAAACTAAAAACAAACAAGCTGATCTAATAACAAAGGTACACTTAGAGGCTAAAAAGTGAAAACCAAGACTGAATTAGTTAATTGCAATACTACTTGGCATAAAATAATATTGCTACAAGTTTGCTCTAAGAATCACATGCCCTTCCTTGACTTTCTTTAGAAGTGTTCAGCAGCACAGCAAGGAGAGTAGAAAACTATGACATGAAGCCTGAGTTCATCAATGGATAAAGCACACGGAACTGTATGGCTGTAAAGTATTTCTCATTCCAGAATGAAAACATGGCAAAGAAACAACATACCCACCTACATTTCATGGCAAGTTTGAGGAGTTCAGTTATTAGTAAATTCAAATTCCATGCTTTAAGTATCAGCATTTCACTCATCAAAACTTCTGATGAACTACAAATTTTATGCCTGCTCACATATTCAGTCCATTGGGACTCACCCTTCTGGAAAGAAGGCATTGATAATTCTGTCTCCCAGTGGATTGATGGCAAGCTCTGGAATCCTCTGGAAGTCTTCACGGCTAAGTAAAGCAAGAACACAAGAAGTCTGCATAAAGTTGACATTAGAAGAGTAAAAGTTGCTTAAAAAGCCTTCACAGCAAAACATCCGTTGGGTTCTGTTTCTCCAACAAGACACTCGATAGTTTTTTTTTTTTTAATGTAATTCTTTAAGTGATGTTTTCTCTATGACTAATAGCACAAAACAATGCAAAAGACAATGCCTGGCCTGCTTTACATTAAAAACTAGTAGTGTGCTGTTAACATGATAAATGGACTTCTTAGATCCTAACATTGTTTGTGCCAAAAACCTTCCTGTAATGATGCCAACTAGCTTGCAATTTAAGGAAAAGAAATCTTCTGAAATGGCTTTGAAGGAAAATATGGCTTCAAAATTAAAATGAGGGTTTTTTTTAAATAACTATCGTGATACTGAATCATTTGAGTTGGCATAATTTTTCCAGACTACAACATTCCAGATTCTGGGACAATACCATACTCCTCCAAACATACCACAGGTGATCTGCATATTCTAATTTTTTTTTTTTAATGCAACAACTTTGTATCTTGTTATATATGCCAAATTTCACATTATTTTAGCTTCGACCAAGCAGCCCCCTATTTTTAAGTAGTAAATTTAGACTTTAGACAGGGGCCTCTACACCCATTGTAACTTCACTGATACACTGCACTTGCCAGCCATTCTCCTTTCTGCTCATGATTTTATGTACACAGTAGAGCATAAGCATAGCTATGCCTACATTGATACAGGGTTTTTCTGATCCGGAAGACATGATGAGCTGTAATGATATGAACACATTTTAGAATGAACATAGGGCTCATTCTATTATTAGAGTTATGCTAATCATTTTTCTTTCAACTTAATAGAACATCACTGACAGGAAAGTGGGATAATCTTGGTGTAACTAAGACAGACAACACCAAGTGTGTCTTAATGACTACTTCTGTCAACAGGTCTGTTTGGGGGTATTTTTTTTGGTTGTTCACACACACTCTACCAACAGAGCACAGCAATTTATCAGTTAGCACAAGAGGTACTCCATAATTATTTAGGTTTTAAATTACGAAGATAACAGCAATGGGGTAAGGCTGTAAAAAGAACCAGTTATTCTGTCTAGATGCGTAACTTGACATTTCCTGCCCAGAAACAATGGCAATTTCCTTCAAGTCAAATACAGTCCTGCTGTTTTTGAAGTTTGGGTCAAAGTCTCAAACTTGGTTACTAGATGTTTGCTCCTTTTGAAACCTACGCTCACTAAATGAATCAGCAACAAGGTTTAACTCATGATGTCATTACACCAAAGAAATATCAGAGTAAAATAAACACAAGCAGATGTATAGATTATTTAAGTATACTGGCCTTTTATTGTACTGTGATCTGAAAGACAGGGTAAAAAAAGAATTGGCTAACCTTATCACCAGTCTAGCCTGGGAAAGGCACAGAAGCAAGACACTCCAGTTTTAAATGCATTCTAAAGCACTCCTTGCACCCAGTCACACCACAGCACCATAAAGAGTCCCAGTTATGTCTGTTACAACATTGTTAAACTGTTTGACCTTCAAATAGAGCAACCTGACCATATTTTTAAGCTACCCCAGCAAAATTCTGCTCTGACCAGGTCTGAATTATTTTTAATAGGCCAAGTTGACATCTGTATAACATGATCAACTCGTTATCAGACCTTTCAGGACCGCTGCGTTTTAAGCTATGGCTGAAGGGCAATGTATGCATTAGTGATTTAGGCAGGAGACGCAGTGATGTGGAAAACCTATGTCCTACTAACAAAATTTTAACAACAGGACTTCAGCATCAATGCTAACATTTACAAGCAAAGAGCAGCAAATGCCCTCTCTTTGAGGTAGAGTAAAATCCTAGTGTTTCTGAATTTTTTGTGTATCACTATTTCTTAGTATTGAGCCTCAATTTACACTCAGCATTTCAGCCTCCAGTTGTTCTGCTTTCTAACAGGAGATTAACAATTAACCACAAATAACTCCCCAGGTTTCAAATCTACTTGTCCTGTCATTATCAGGATTGCAGTAGACCATTTTTTGCTTATTAAGAGCACATTACTGAGTGAGTGTTATAATTGAAATAGCTCTAACAGCCATAAAAGTAAATGAATGCATGATGTAAGTTATTCTCCACGCTATAAACTAAGGCTTCCTGCAGTCATTAGGGACTAACTTCACCTGGCTGAAGCTGGAGCTTACAGGAAATTTGATGCCTTCTACTTCTGTGTTCATCTGCCATAGCAAAAAGGCTCTTTTAACATACCTTTCAGGAATCTGGCTTCTATTAAATCCTTGCTTAAACGTAAGGCGTAAAGCAAACTTTAACTGCGTGTTACCATTACGCAGGCCAACCATTTCATATATAGGCGAGTGCATTCACTTAGATGTTTTGCCAAAAGGAATCTGTAGATACTTCTGAGGTGTGTAACCTGTCATTTCCCCAGCACAGAAGAAACTACTGTAAGTGGGAGGCACCATGCAAAGTCACATGCAGAAGCAGCAGTTTACAGAAGTATCTCCTTTTCATAGCTCTGTGTCTGCCTAGAGCTACTACTAGTTGTTAAATTTTGGAGTGGATGTATCTTTGTGTGGTGTACACTTCAGTATTAGCCCAACAAGGAGACTCACTGAGGCAAGCACATGCTTACCCTGGTCATACATGTAGCTTTCCTCACCTTACAAGTCAGAAGGTAAAGAAGAAAACACGCACGCTGGTTTCCCCTGACCTACGGTTAGGATGTAGGCAGAACAAGTATGTTTCAGATTTCACAATTTAGCTGTAGCTGTGTACATCCAAGGGTACAAACCTTTCGTTTTAGCAATTCAGCATGTCACAATATTGAAATCAAAGGTGACAAAAGAATTTTCAAAGGAACTGTTTTGTCCTGGCTTTTATGACCGAGTTTCATTCGGATGGTGCACATCTGAGGAAGCTTACTGATTTTGTTTGGGAAAAGTGAAGCTAAAGGAAAAATATAACATTTTCAACCCTTTTAAAGAATTGGTAAGAGTTATTCAGTAACGAGAAGGGGGAACAAAAAGACAAAACAAGGCATATGAAGCTCTGTCTCCATTGGTACCCTTCTCTTACATCTCATTTACATAACTCTAAAAATAAAGTAGCTTTCTTGAAACTGCACATAGGTACACTGCATAGAAACATCTGGCTAGGAAAGATTTCATCTTTGGATTATAGTTTCAGAATGAACTACCTCTCTTCCCTAACTACCAGGATTAGTTATCACGTACCATATCTTCTGTACAAAGTGCTCTTTACCTTGCCCATTTTTAATACATAGATAAGAAAGACAACACAGCTTTCCCCCTCCTTCAAAAGGGTGGTACACATTTAAAGATTTATTTCATGCCATAAAGAACTGCCTAACACATCTCTTGCCGATCATAGTCACGTGATTTCTGTCATGTCTGATTTGTAAGTCGAAGGTATAAGTCAACCTTAAGAAACAATCATTCTTGCTCACAGGAAACAATCAGAAGACACACCTTCTGAACTGTTCGGCAGTAGAAAGCACTGTTAACTTCATCCCACTTGTCTCAAAGTAGCAGTTTCTCTGATTAGTACTTCAGAAAGCAACATTTCCCAGCTGTAGTTCTTACTCTCCCTTTTTTTTTCCTAGGAAGCAGTTTTCCGTTAAACTTAATGGTTTCCACATATTGTGGGTGCCAGGACAGGTTTCAAAACCTGAATACCACACTAAATCAGCCATGTTTGGGAGCAGGCTATGCTGAGAGGCCAAGACTGCAAGTTAATGGGCAACAATTTGCACAGTTGCTGGGATTTTCCAAATGATCTTCACTTCCTTTCCCAAGTACCACATGATTATCGACACTAAAAGTCAAACTCCTCCTGGGAAACTCCTCCTATGAAACTAAGCATTGTGCAACAGGCGTTCATAGCATATTTAATGAATTACTTCTCTTACGCAAACTGAATACAATCACTCTGAAGTTTATACAAACTTTATGGACTCAACAGGCAAATTTAAAGTTGGAGGGAAAAGTTCAGGAAGAACGTGTGCTAGGTTCAAACTGCACCAGACTGGCAGCCATCACCTTTATTCATCAGTGAAGACTAAACCCACACCAAGAGTTTGAAGAGGCTAGAGTTAGCATTGTTCTTTTTCAAGTAATTTAATTTTGAGACATAAGTAGTATTCAAACTTACCTACAACATCATCAGCTGATCTGTACATCACAATTGCCAATTAGCCAATGCTACAATTTAGATGTTACATTGGCTTTGGTGACAGAGTGGGCTTAAGAAGTTCCTGCCCAACCCAAGCCAATTGTTTCCACACCCACAATCCATTTTGTCATCCCTTCAGCTATGCAAGTCTAGATATTTAGAGTACAGCCACAGTCCAAATCACTGGAGTCAGTCCACTTAAAAACATTCTATACAAACCAAGAGGGGAAGAAGAGTATTTTTAACCAAAAATAATTACTTAGTAGCCCTGTTTACAGTACAACTTCACAACCAATTACTTAAATGTGAACTGAGAAGTCAGCAATTTGTGGCCCCAGAAGGAACTGCGTATTTCCTTCAGGAAATGAAACTGCAGTAAGCCGGCAGTACTGCCAAAGACAGTCTATCTTACAACTCATCACCTTCATCCTGTAGGCAGTGATTCTAGCTCTATGGTTAGTCGGTTTGTAGGTAGGTCTAGCTTCTATAGGTTTATAGTGCATCCCACAATCACATTTTGCAAGGTTATGTACAAACCTACGGGTAATCCCTGAATCAATGTTTACTGGGTTTGACTGGGATAGAATTGCTATGAAAAAAGTTAACTCCAACCCTGCCAGACCCCATATACTATGCTACAGGGTCCCTTTCCTCTCCCTACTCTCTCCTGCATTCTCTCCAGCTTCCCTGTGCACTGGTTCCAGCATATGTGGCTATATGGCAAATAAGAAACAATCCACCTGAAAACCAATCAGATTCCCTTTTTGTTGTTTTGCTTGGCAAATTTTCAGAGTTTAAGGTTAGTTTCCAAAGATGAGCCTTGACTACCAGCATCAACACAGAAAAGCAACAGACTTTCAGTGGCTCTGTGTTCTTAGACCCACTATGTTCGCTGCAATCTGGTGCAATCAAGGGCATCTCTTATTTGTCATATGTTTTCATAATATTAATGTGATCCTTAGGCAACATCAAAAGAGAAGACTAATAAGCAATTTAATACAACCAGAAGTCATAATTAATTCTGTAATTAAAGAGCAAACCAATACCAACCCACAATACAATAATCAGAGTGGGACAGGCTAGAGAACAAAGACAGCACATAGAGACACATTTTAACAGGCAATCATCTCACTAGAGTTTCTTTCAGTTGAGAATACTCTTTTCAGCAGATGCAGTACAAAGGAAAAAGGTTTTGCAGATAAGGTTTCAGCCTCGCCTTTATTTAACTGATTAAGTTGTAAGAAACTGGTTCACTTCTGTAGTTTTCAAATTGCAAACAGAAGACAAACACCTTAAAGGTGTTATTCTTTAAAGTAGTAGTACAGGATGATATATTTGTTTAGTCACAGTGACTCAGGTCAAGGTCTTTTTTTTATTTCTGAGCATACTAATGTACATGGGTGTTCAGCAAGAAGTGCACTGTTAAGAAGAGTAAAGGGCTTGCAGATCAAAGTAGTGTTAAAAGACATTGGGTATCAGAAACAATCAAGAGCCCATGCCCCCCAAAAATATAAGTGACCTTTTGTTATGAAAGCCAGGATGAAGACCTGGCTGAAGACAGAGTGGAACCATCCTTGTAATAATTATCAGAAGCAACATACAAAGAAAGGTAAGAAGTTACAATCTAAAAATATGCTTTTAACATTTCTAAACATTTGTTCTAAGACTCTGAATCCAAAAATCTAACTTTTCTTGTAGTAAGTGCTACAAGCCTTCAGAACTACAGTAAAAACAATTGGCATTTAGAGCACCTCAGTTCAACAGTAAGATTCCTCTTGACCTCTCATAAAAGAGAACAAACTCGGCTGTCCATGTAGACAGCAGGTATGAAAGAACCTGTTACAGTAACCTCACTGATTCACCCTTTGACGAAAACATGCAGGCACCCTGCAACAGCCAGCCACCATTACAGATATGTGTCAATGCAAGCTGAATTAGTGACGATACCCACCTGAGAGTGCCATTTTCTCCTTTGTCTAGGCTGGTGAAGCGACTGTACAAGCGGGTGATTTGACTGTGGGAGACTGAAAAAGAAGAAACAAATTAGCTTGTCAATGATTCCTCATTGGAACAAACCTCATTACATTACTCCGTTGCCAGAAGCTGTGTTCAAAACAAAAAGAGATCACACAAAACGAGTTACATTGGAATCACATAGCAATCAGCAGTTTAGGGACTTCATGAGCTGTATGTATCTTAATATTCAAGAATCCACAAATAAGCTCGTGCTTCCAAAATTTGTCTAAGTCTGCCTTCTACCTGTTTCTATTTGGTCTCTATAGACTATTTTATGGTTATCTGACTCAGCAAATGGCAATTAAAGAGAAAAAAAATATTTGATTCACAGTTCCACTGTAGTCCCATTAATTCCTTTATGGCTAGAAATAACCTGGACACAGCCTCCACCAATAACCTCTACGTCATTTCTAACACCGCAGATCTCTGCTGTACTATCTTTCCTTCTCTTTATCTCTAATCCTGTTGTCTTCTTCCATCTAAAAGATGGAAAGTGCACTCTATTTCTCTGCATGTGGAAAGCAGTCAGAGGCTTCCATCTAAAAGATGGAAAGTGCATGTGGAAAGCAGTCAGAGAGACTCTATACCTGATCACTTTTCTTCCTTTACACAACTGCCTGAATCTAAACGGTTTGTTCATTTTGGTGTTCACTAAAGTAATTTCCAGGCTTCTAGGGCACAGAATTAAAAATTAAAAATCCCATTTCTAAAGAAGTTTGGGAGGGAGTTGGGACACAAATCAAGCAGAACATTAGTGCAGACTTTTTAAAGCCACAGTTTGAAAAAGTCCAAAGCCAGTATTAAGTCTAGCATCACTGTGTCAACTTTACCAAGATATTAGACATCTAGATCTTTAGATCAATCCATGATGGGGGATGGTTAAACCTATCTAGAATAACAATCCCTTTAACACTGTAAGAATGCCCTACAGATGATGTTGGCTTTTCAGAGCCTCTTCAGATGAAGTTAATACATGCATGAAATAAGACTCAATTGAATTTTAATGTTTACTCAGTAAAGGTGTGATTTTTTTCTAGAATGTTAAACTAGGACTTAGCAACATTTGCAGATTCAGTTGTTTTAAAAGTCTTCACGAGCAAATATACAATGCTTTTGTTACTTGCTAAAACATATTTGGGAACCGGTTGCACAGCAATTGTCTGATCTGTGACTACCTTTTCAGGTTTGTTCTTTCTCCAGGCTATTTGTTTAGGTTCAACTGTTCCCTCCTTTAGAATGACCTGCCAGCAACTGTTTGTTTGGTTTTGTGGTTTGTTTTTTCCTTCCCCCTCCCACCCCTCCACCTTGTCTCTCTCCTCAGCAACTTTCATTCTTTACATAGGGTTGGGCAATTTGCTCAGTTCCACCTAAAGCAACTTCTCTACAATCAGACTGGGCAGCTCGCTCCGTTTCAAGTTAAGCAACACACACCTAGAAAGCAGGCACCAGTATTTTAAAGACTTTGAATTTCTGCATTTCTGATTTAGTGTTTTAAATATGATACGCAATCACTGATGATGAAGAAAGAATAGCCTGGAGTTACATCTCCAACAAGAAGGCCTGTACTCCCACTCCTCCCTGGGAAACAAAAGAAAAAAAAGAAAAAAAAGGGGTGAAAATTCTACTCAGCTACCATTTCCAAACTGACATCAGCATCTCCAATTTTGGAACACCAGCATAACAGCCAGTATGTAATGAATAGTATGCCGCTATTGACAGGAGAATACGTAGCCATTGCCAGGAGAAGAGGTGCTTTTGTTGACCCCATGCTAGACAAAAAGCATATCATCACTGTATGAGAAAGGAAGATGATTCAGGTCCACCACTGCACTCTTTCATAATTTCCTTTTTGGCTCTCACCCTCACAAAAGCTTCATCGCTAGACACTTTTCAGAGCCTTCTCATGCAAAATAAAGGTTTTGACATTCCTTGCTGACCACAGAACCAGAAACAAGTTCTACAGTTTCTGACTCCTTCTTAAAAATCAAAGGTTAAGGCTTAAAGCCAGCTGGAACACGATTTTATCTACACTACTATCCCACTATGGTGGTTCTAAAAATTTAAGTCTAGAGCTCTAGAATAGGAGCTGTACTCTCCATTTCTGTTAAAACATCAGAAAATTTTTTGCAATTAGACATTCTAAAACATCAACATAAACTCATATAAATATATATTTATATACTTAGAAAAAATAAACATGCATCAGAAAATCTGCCACTTGTTACCACTAAAATATTTTTTCTCCTAAGCTCCAATATGCACATCAGTTTAATATTAATCCTTAGGTAGACTGTTTCAAAGCATGGGAACAAAGGGTGTGAACCAAATAGTTTGAATACTGTTACATTCCAATGGCTTTCCAAAAGCCTGCTACAGAATGCAGACAAGCAACACCTTGGACCTCTCATCTGTTTCTTACAGTTGTTACTGAAATACAAAAGCAATTAGAACTACATGAAGTGGGTTTTTTTATTTTTAAACTCAAAGTTCAAAATGTTTAGCTGCAAAGCAAACAATTTCCATACAACACACACAAGACTTAGGACTGTCAACTTCAGGCTTAGCACCTGTTACTGAGAACCTGATGAAGGTTTTGTGTCACTAAGTGCAGGTTTTAGTGGGCACATTATTTCCCCGTTCTTGGAAACCTTACCTTTGCAGATGTTTCTAAACTTACTACATGAAGAAGTATTTTTCACCATGACATAAAAAAAAAAATTATAGAACTTCAATCCAAACTTAGATTTCACTCCAGGGATTGTCATTGTATGGCTCTTGAAAGACTACACTTCAAGTTCCTTTAAAAAGATACCCTTTTAATCTGTTCAGCTAAAGAACATATGGTATATGGTTTATCAGTCCTGTTAGCATCATAAGCTATTCAGTTTTGTGCTACATAAAACTGAACAAGAGAAAAGTTGTGTAACTCCATAGCTGAACTCAAGTTCTGTGCTTCACACTTATCCCAGATGAAGTGAGGAAGTCACATTTCACACTAAGGAGGCCAAAAGTAGAATCCTTAGGAGCACTTACCAGAACATCAGTTCAAGATGGACATGTAGTATTGCCGAATTGTTTCATGTCTACAAAGACCCTCTCTCAAACTCTTCAGCAGGTAAAGTATCATCAGCATCAGGTTTCTAACAAACCACAGGACACACTACTCAGTAACACCAATTTAGCATTCTGCCTGTGAACTTTGTTCCAGATAAAACAGCATCCTAGGGATTTTTTTTCCACACCCTGTACCTTGCGTAAATATTTGCACCTATATGAACTGTATAACAGTGCTAAGACCTTGGTGGAATTTTCTACCTACCTACACAAGAATAAAAGGCAGAGGAAATTCACATTCCTAGACTGTAATTACAGGCCAGGAGGAGGAGAAGATTTGATAAAGTTAATGAGACATGCCGTGATGATTTGCAAGCAAGCATGAATTACAGATTAGCAATGCTGGATTAACGAAGTGCTATTACTTCTAAAATTGAATGGTAAAAACACAACAAAGTGAACTAAACCCAGGCCACAAAGCTCAAACCCACTGCTCACAATCTTAAGCTCCCCACTTTGAAGATACAAGAAAAGCATTTAGAGACTAGAGCTTAGAATGCCTATCTAGCCATCTTAATAGTATTAATTTAACAAGTAAAATTCTAGGAATAAAACACCACTGACAATAAATAAAATATTGGCACAAGGGAAAAAGTAAAACCTCTTGTAAGAACATTCCAGGTCTGGGGTTTGGTTTTCAAAGCACCTGTATAGATGAGGCTACCTTTACTCTATGAACTTTGTAATTAAAAAAAGTTCTTGCTGGATAAGCAGTCTTTGACATTCCTACTTGTTTATCACAGCCTTCCTGTAGAGGGTTCTCGACAGATGGAAAAAGGATCATGGAAACTATGTTAACTCACTCAGCTGCGCATTATGCTAGCCAGTACTGTCTTAATTTTCCTTCCACTCCTTTTCTGTAGCCACTCATTTTCCTGACAGAAATAAACTATTACCTAAAACAAGCATACAATACCATTTCTATTGGAAAAAATACAAAAAGTACTTTCATGTAAGAAGAAGAGGTGAGCAAGCAGAAGAAATGTGTGATCTGGGAAGACCTTGTCTACCTGAAGTGGGGCAGAAGTAAACAGCAAAGTGGTAGCCATGATGATGTGACCTCCCCTCTCCAACAACCCTCCGTTTACCAGTGAATTTGCTAGAAGTCTCAGATAGGCAACCATTCTATCAGTCAAATTAACAACACCAAGGTTGACCTTTTCTAAGGTACTTTATGTTTATGGAGAAAAACTCAGACACTATAGGGTAAAGTAGCTACATACTACAGTCCATGCTCTCCCAATTTCTAAGTAATACAGGAATTTTCACCTTTTTTTTTATTAGCCAAACCCAACTTCCACAAGTTATGTTACCTCCTTTAGGTTTTAAATGCCACCAAGCATTCATTCTGAATATCCACTAAGGCAACTTCAGCAGTAGCTTAAGAAGCAAATAACATTTGGGGAAGAAAATACTATACAGTGAGAGCTTTTTCGGGCCAAAAATAGCTGCTGGAGGGAAACTCCAGCACTACAAACAGGTAACTCCTCAAAACCCAACACGTTATCTCGAACCGAATGCAATACTGCAAATACCAGGAGCACTGCTGCTCTCCCTTCCCACTCAGCTCTCGCTGCCGCTGTACATCCTATCTTCGCCTCTTTAAGCCACACTAAGGGCTCCCACGCGAGGTCTCCCCCGCAACCCCAAAGGGACTCGCAGACCCCAGCTGGCTGGCTGAATGACGGCTTTCGCTGTAGTGTGCCCAGCGAACACCACCCCCCAGCTGCCCCTAGGCCGGCGCAAGGAGCATCTCAACTCCCAGCAGCTGTGTTTACAGCCGGCGGTAGCTGCCAGCCCCAAGC